CCTTGGAAGATCTGAAAATATAAATTAATACCACTATACAAAACATAATTCTGAAAAGTCAAGGCATCAGACAATGAAAGAACTGATTATTTTGTGTCAAATAGGAGGTATAAAGTGTTCTTTTTGTTTTTGATAATGTTTAATCATCACTAATTTTATAGGGTTCTGTATGTTGTTTTCATGATTAAATGCAGCAAAATAAACTAATTCAAAGATAACAGATCTTTGTAATACTTGATTTATTTACATAATAACTTTCATTGCTGGATGTTCGGCCCCTCAGCTGTTGACCTGCAGTAACTGTGGCCCCCGGAAAAATTTAGTTGAACAGCCCTGATATAAACTATAACAAATGCAGATGACAGCCAGAGCCTCGCCCACAAACAGGAAGTATTTACCGTTTGAAGCTGTAATCTTTAAAAGGATACATTTAAATCCACCTGTGCTGACAGGTAAAGCATGAGGCGGCACCACACGACTGGCAGGAGCCTGTCAAATAATAAACTTTAATTATTGCATCTGCAGATATAAAGCATTTAAAAGGAGGTGAATGAAAGATGTGACCTATATGAGCTAACATTAATATAAATCTGAGAGAAAAGAGGAAATACCAAGAATCAAAGGTAAGATGTTTAGACAGCAGATCTTTATGTCACTGATTGATTGAGACTTTAAAGGCTGCAGAGGGACTTTAATGATGCTAACGCAGCGGCAGGTGGAGGTGATATTAGTGTCCAGAATGACTGAGTCAACTCACCACTTTCATGGTTTGACTTTGATCTGCTCTGCCCTTCTTCCCCTTCCCACCTTTGCTCTCCTTCCTGCTCTCACTGTCAGCTGCAACGAACACAAACTAAATTMATACGAGCAGGTCAGCGTTTCAAAGCTTTCTGCTTCTTCTGAAAATAAAAACACTGATTCTGAAAGAAATTTAACTTTTATTTAGACTTCATTCAGAAAACATAACAGCAAGATACAGTTAATAAAACACTCTTTGTTACAGTTTAATAGATTCTAAACTTGTTTTTATCTTCTTGTAAGAATATTTACAGTTCATGTTAAAATGAGGTGAGACTTTTATTAGCAATTATAAAGTTTTTATTATAGAGGACAGCACTTAAATATTAAATTTACCTGTTCTTTTAACAGGTAAATGGTTTTAATCACAGACCCTAGTGTCTTAATAAAATGAAAAATAAACACACACAC